CACCGGCCACTAGAATGGAGCTGCCGTCGGCCGACGTCGAGGTGAGGCGCAAGACGTCCCCAGAAGCGAGATCTGGCCCCAGGGGCCCGGATCCGGCCGGCCACCGCCGAGATCCGCCGGAGTTGAAGAGGGGGAGGGGGTGGAAGAGCGAGTGGGAGGGAGGGAGAGGCGCGGATGGGCTCCCTTGTTGGGGATCCGCCACGGGCCGCCGCCGCGAGGGCGGCGACGGCGGCCGAATGGGAGGCCAAGAGGGCGGGCTGGAGCGCGCCAGCGTTGTCGCCCCCGAGTCGCCCGTTGGGGGTTCTCGGGGGAAGGGACAGTCACCTAAGAAAGAGAGAATTGAGATGAGAGTTCAAGCAATATTCTGAAAACATCATGGTGTCAGAGCTGAGGTTAAGGAGGCGATGGTGGTCTGCCTGAAGCTTGAACCCAAGGCAATAGGGCCTCCAAGTTGGGGGACCATGTGGAGGCGAGCAGCTGCACTCAGATTGACGACAAATTATGTGCTGAATCAGTGAACAAAGAAATATGTCAAAGGCTTGTAGGAAGGCTTATTTACTTATGTCATACAAGACCTAACATTTCTTATACGATAAGTGTTATAAGCCGGTACATGCACGATGCTAGAAGTGAGCATTTAGATGTTATTATTTATTAGATATTATATTAATCTATGATATTTGAAGGGTAGCCTTGGAATGGAAATACTGATTGGGCAAACTATCCTGACGATAGGAGATCAATTTTTGTGTTTTTGTCGAATGAAATTTGGTATCATGGAGAAGCAAAAATCTAATTGGTCGTGTCTCATTTAACTACAGAAGCTGAGTATAGAGCTACGTCTCTCATGTTAAACGAGATTTTGTGGTTAAGGAATCTCTTGTTGGAGTTAAATGTGCTATAAGAAAAGGCTTATCAAAGCTTTGGTGCGACAAGTTAACCGCCAACATTGCAAACAATCCAGTCAACACGATGGAACTAAGCATGCTTAGATTGTTCATTTCTTTATCAACGAGACGATAGATGAGGGTGCAATAGAGTTTTGTCATGATTTTGGAAAACAATTAGCAGATTGTCTAAACAAAGGTTTAGGTGTAAAGGAGTGTGAATTAGCATGCATGTAGCAAGATGGGGATGATAGCCCGCCTTGAGGGGAAGTGTTGGGCCGTCTAGTGTTATGACAAAGCCCATGGGCTAGTTCCCAATACGTACTATCAGCATGTGAGTATGTATATGTACCTAAGAAATAGAGAAGATATATTAGAGTTCCGGAAATTTTCCCAAAAACCTAAAAAAAACCATGCTCAAAAGATACAACACAGAGTTTTCATCATTACTTTTATAGGTTAGGCCATCTCATTCTAAATTACAATAGAGATACAGTTGCTTGAAAATAATGATAAAAAGTTATTACAAGCATTTCTCTAGATACCGCGTCCTTTATGACCCAACAATACCTGAACTTCATAGTGAACTTTTGTGCGAAGAACGAAAAGAAGACAAATCTTATTAGATAGATTGAGTCAATCAAAACAGTTTGAGATATAAATTGAGCATAAATTTTGTTTGAGATGTCAAGCAAACATAGTAAATTGTTCAAGGTCGTAAAATAGATTATTTTTTTTGGGAAAATTTGCTATAATTCTCTGAGTTAGAGCATCTCCAAGAGTCTTTATAAAATTTACTCTCTAAATCATCATTTGGAGAATCATATGAGTAAAAACAGCTATCCATATCTTTGTACCCCCAACAACTATTCTATATCTCGTACGCACACTAGAGAGATAGCCTCACTCTCTATCTGTAGCTAGCGATAAATCTGAAGTAGATGATTGTCTATATTTGAAGAGACAATTAAAGAGGCTGTTGAAGGATAATATTTTTCACCTAAACCTCTATTTCTATAAATAAATCAGAAAAAATATAAAGAGTCTCTTGGAGTTGCTTTATGCCCGTTTACTACAGCTCCAACTTAAGATTCACCTAATATCTAGAGTTTGTATGCTAAAATCAAGAATCTTGTGACTCTTTTTTGTGTAGAACGGAAAGAAAACAGTACATCAAGATAACTCAAGTGTACACACAGTTCTGGCTCCACATATTTCTTGGAGCATAGACCTATATGTCAAACAGAACCCTGATCGTTGAAGACTGGAAGAATTAACTTGGTCTGGTAGGCCATCGTTCTCAAAGGAACACCAAAACATTCATATTTCGTTTCGTGATAATAATGCCACGTGAATCAACCGATACCGGTAGGAGTGGGCGCCCTTCGGAAAAGGTCAAATGAGTGGACGTTTCAGAAAAGTAACTCAAGTTCATACGGAGGATGATTCATTCTTTAATTCTTTTCCATTGACGAAATCATTGGCAGTACGGTGTACAACAACCGAGTGAAGACTAAACTCTTTCGTTGATAAACTCATGCTCTCAGTCCTCCTTCCGGTGCTACCGCTGTTTGCACCATTTTTTTCCGAAAGTACGGCAAAAGCTTTACTTCTACAATTTACTAGGAGGAAGAAAAAAGAAGATAACAACAGGCTAGTACACTAGATGTGTTTTGAATGAAACATGTCACTAGACTATTGTCATGTTCGCTTGGCTGATAAGTCATGACTGAAAGTACTATTGGATGATTTATTGTGAGAGAAAAATATTATTCGTTGACTAAAAAAGTACGGCTTATAAACCAAGTGAACAGGATATATATATATGTCTGTCTTTGTTAAGTTTGTTCAGTGCAAATAGGGGCAGATCCAGTACACAAGGAGCGGGAGGGGGGGTGGGGGGGGGCATTCAAATTCTGGGTTTTCAAAGAAATATATACCTTCTTTTATTTAGCTACACTGATTCATCAGTAACAGGTCGTCACTTAAATTTTGTGCTAGTTGTGCCCTAGTGCAGAGATTGTGAAATGCTATGAAGTGCTGTAAGCTTGTAACGCTGTTTAGCTCAATGCAATATATGGCGAGCCGAGGCATGTTTTGTCCCCAGAACTCTGAAATAAATCTTCTATCAACACGCTATTCTTGAGAGAAGCTTTGCGCCATTGACGCTACTGAGTCTGTATTCTGTGGACGACAACCAGACGGCCAGGGAATGGAAAGACTTGTCGACGGTAAATCAGAAGAACAAATCAGCATGAAACGAGGAGCTAGCCCAAGTCTAAAGGGTGATTCCAATACGCAAACGATTCAGGTACTGCCATGCTTTTACCACATCCACACAGAACAATCTGCATTTTGACAATAATGCCGTTTCACAACTTCTGAAACACGTCCTTACCTACCAAGATCACTACCAACCCAATGCAAAAAAAAAGGCTTAGCTACCTCTCTCTCTCTCACTCTCATTGGTCCAGTCCACGGGGTCTTTCCAACAAACCAGTATTTGGAGTTGGTGAGGACTGAGACTCTAGAAAGGTCGTAGTAGTACATGAGATGCCAAAGGGTTGAAGATTGCTGTCCATTCATACTTCAACACCATGCACCAACCCCACACAACAAATTCCAAGGACTGCTCCTGAAGAAAAGAGAGGTGTGACAGATATCCAGAGGGAGCCAAAAAGATTCAGTGGATGCAACTCTGGGCAAAGCATCATCACCTACGTCATGCTCATGTAAACAGTTCTTTTTTTTTGTTTTCATATAGTACATAATATATTCATCCAGTCTTCGAAAACCCAGCAAGTACTGAATAATCTGTAGTCAAACCGGCACGGCATAGCATCTGTGGAATGGCCATGGAGTCTTTGAAAATCATTATTGAGAAAGACTAGAACTCGTGTAAACTCAAACTTTTTGAACTACTAAAAGATATACGTAATATCAAACAAATATTACATGACCCACATCTACTACATGACCCAGCATCTAGTAATAAACTTATGTGTAAGACCAATTCTTTTTTCAGAGAAAACGAGGCCTTTTCACGTAGGGTTGGGGGAGACCACTGCACTGCACTTTGAAATGGGCCGGCGCACTACTACATAAAAGATTTTACAAGGTGTTTTGAAATTGGGCTCGGAGGCGGACGGGCCTTTAAACCGCCTCGGTTAATGCTTGGCATTAACCGTGGCGGTCATTTTTATTAACCGAGGCGGTCATAGTCAACCACCTCGCAAAATCTATTTACCGAGGCGGGCAACCTAATGCGACCACCTCGGTTAATATTTATTAACTGAGGCGGTTTTCCTAACACAACCGCCTTTGGTTAATACATTAACCGATGCGGTCACATTATAAGGCCCGCCTCGGTAAATAGTGGCCTAGCTCTCAACCCAGGCAAAGCCCATACTTGTTATTCTACCGGGCTCATATAACCAAGACTTAGGGTTTGTTGCTCACTCCACTTCCTCCCTCCCAGCCGCACCCGCTCTCTCCACTTCCTCCCTCCCGTAACGCCGCGCGCTCCCTCCCTCCCTCTCTCTGCCCGGCACTCCCTCTCTCCCGCGGGCGGCGCACGGTGGTGGAGGCGCGGCCTCACGCGGGCGGCGGGCTCCCTCTCCCTCATGTGGTGGTGGCGGCTAGGGCACCGGCACGGGCTCCCTCTCCCTTCGGCGAGCGGACAGCGGCGGTGGAGATCGACTACAAGGTATGCCCCTCACTGGCAACAATTTGGCATGACCAGAAAATGAAAGCATATATATGTATGCACCGAATGAGGCTGATAACATAGCATATATATGTGTGCAGTGTGTGCACAAGCAAGCAGACGTCGTCGGTAGGTTAGTGAAAGGGTTGCCCTGGTTGCCCCCTCCACCACCACATCTCAGCAACTGCAAAGCGTCACCACTCACCAAGTCACCACCATTTAGCTCGCAATAGCTCATCAGCACAATACCTAACACGTTTTAAGAACCACCCCTCCGTCCTCACAAAGCCTTGTAGTTGTAGCTAAGCAAGCTAGCCTCAACAACACCACCACACGAGTACACGACCCACTCCATTAGTTTTCCTTTCCCAGCTCGGTCATCAGCTCCAACTCCAGCTCGCGCTCCCATGGCTGCAGGTGCAGCGGCTGCCTCCACAGGCTACTGGTCGCTTGCGATCGGCGCAATGCGTGCAGCCATGGTGTGCTGGGTTTGCCTGGCCTACATGCGCGGTGTGTGCGACTGGTTGCCATTGCCGCCAGGGACAGGGACGACCGGGAGCACGACGAGCACCCCGGCCGCGGGGCTGCTGGTGCTCTTGGCGGCCGTAGCGCTGGTGGCGGGGTGGTTCCTGAACACCGTCCGGCCGCCTCCGCCGACGTCGTGCGGGACACCCGGGGGCCCGCCGGTGACCGCGCCCAGGGTGCGGCTCCGGGACGGGCGGTACCTGGCGTACGCCGAGTCCGGGGTCAGCAGGGACCGGGCGCGCTTCAAGGTCGTCTACTCGCACGGCTTCTCCGGCGGCCGCATGGACTCGCCCCGCGCTTCCCAGGTTGGTTGGTGACGGACTCGTGCGCGCTTCCCGTATCTCCCTCCATCTTCTTTCTTCCACATGCATGCATGTATGCGTGTGCTTCAGGCCGTGGCAACCACTAGTCCGGCCGATAGCGCACCGGCCGGCAACCAAGCAAGTTGGTGGCCAGCACCAACTCCACCGCCAACCCCGTGCTGACGGCTGTGCCGCCGTCGTCGTCGCTCACCAACCATCCGCCAGGAGTAACACGCAACGACGTTCCACGAAAACGACTAGGCCGGCTCCCGTAGAATTCTCGCTGTGTTTGCCTACCTGAAGCGTGTGGGCGCCGGCACGGTGCATGCATGGCCAATCATATCGTTTCCAGGCCCGCACGACCGACGCCCCCCGTAGAAATTGTAGCACGCGGCTGTGTCAGTCAGTGTAACTGATGGAAAGAACATACTGTACGTAACTGATGAACGGAACACTCGAACTACAGGAGCTGCTGGAGGAGCTGGGCGTGTACATGGTGGCGTTCGACCGCGCCGGGTACGGCGAGAGCGACCCGGACCCGCGGCGGTCGCTGGAGAGCGCGGCGCTGGACATCGAGGACCTCGCCGACGCGCTGGGGCTCGGCGACAGGTTCCACCTCGTCTGCTCCTCCCTCGGCTCCCACGCCGGCTGGGCCGCCATCAGGTACATCCCGCACAGGCTGGCCGGGCTGGCCATGATGGCGCCCGTGATCAACTACCGCTGGCGCGGGCTGCCGCGGGGCCTCGCCCGGCAGCTCTACAGGAAGCAGACCGTCGGCGACCAGTGGTCGCTCCGGGTCGCCTACTACGCGCCGTGGCTGCTACACTGGTGGATGAGCCAGTCGTGGCTGCCCACCTCTACCGTCATCGACGGCTCCGCGCCCTTCCCCAACGCGCTCGACGAGAAGAACCGCGTCATGGCGCTCTCCAACGGCATGTTCCACTCGGTTCGTCGGCTCACCTCGCTCGGTTGCCTTAATTAGCTTGTCCTGTCCCCCGGAGCGAAACCAACAGCTTTGCAAAGTGTTCTTTCTTGTTGCAGAGGGCGAGGCTGGCGACGCAGCAGGGGGCGCAGGAGTCCTTCTACCGCGACATGGCGGTCATGTTCGGGAGGTGGCCGGAGTTCGAGCCCACGGACCTCGAGAAGCCGCCGTTCCCGGTGCACCTGTTCCAGGGCGACGAGGACGGCGTCGTGCCCGTGCAGCTGCAGCGGCACACATGCCGCAAGCTCGGCTGGGTCAACTACCACGAGCTCCCCGGTACTGGCCACTTCTTGTCAGCGGTGCCAGGACTCGGCGACAGGATCGTCAGCACGCTCCTGTCATCACCGGCGTCGGCGTCGGCGTAACTGATCCAGGACTCGCATCTAGCGAGTCGTAGTACATGACTGATCTGCTGTAGCTACATGTCTCGAAGCACTACTGATCGTTGAAGAAAGGCACTTCCTGTGAGCTCAGGCCTAGCCACTACTGTATTGTACCAAGAAACTGAATAGACGAAGGCACTTTTTATATATCATTAGAGAGGTATTTGACTCGTTGTACATAAATATTTATCATCAGACAGAAAATAATTCCATCCAGATCTGCAATTTACATACAGCTACAAAGAACAGTAACTGGCTAGCAACTTTGAAACTATCTAGATTCACAGGCACACGACCTATCGTAACAAAACTGTTACAGTACACACGCTACGGCTGCAAAGGTCGCAGCAGCATTTCACCAATCAAGAAAATATTGGCTGTAAATAGGAGAGAAAGGAACACAGCTGGGGAGGAAAAATAACCGCTGCTCATCTCCCGCATTGAGTTGCTATGAATCCAAACATATTCACAACCACAAATAAAGAATCAAGCGTTGATCTCTGCATCACACTGCTGCTCCCTGTGGCAGCTTCTTCGGCTCCAGAACATGCCTGAGCAGCTGGTCCGGTCTAGATCCTCCTGCCCCCTCTTGTCCAGCTCCATACTTACGCAGTGCGAGGGTCGCGGAGATTGGACCTCGGAACCATCCTGTGCATCTGTAGCACCGCATGGATCATCATCGCTGCACCTGCAGGTTGGGAGGGCGGACGACGGGAACGGGCTGCAGGTGATTGGACAGACTAGCTCTGAAGAGACGGCTGCCACACGGTTGCGTCTGATTTCGGCTTTGGAGACAGTGGCTGGCGAGTCCATAGATCGGGTGTTTAGTATGCATGGGTTGCAGAATGTGAGTGCTGAACTTGATTTAAGCCCTTCTGTTGGTGAGCTTGGTAACTTAGTGAATGACATTATGCCATCCCGACAAAGAGGGCACGGGATGGACCCAGGTGGGCCTGTGAACTCGACACGGATGTTGCTGGTTGAGCAGAGATAGAGAGCACATTTGATGCAGAACTCATGACTGCAACCTGAAAGGACAAAAATAATAATGTCAGCATACCAACTTTACACATTGGGACATACTGTAGCATGATATAGATGACCAAGAGATCAACGGAAATCCTATCGAAAACATATAGCTTTGTTAAAACTTAAAAGCACTTTACGCAACCAAGGTTACGTATACAAGTGCCATTAGTGTTTTGGTATTTAACTTTCATTTATATAGTGTTGTGTTACTTTCACTGATTTTTAAAGTTTCACAAAATGACAGCATCTCTTGCAGTCATAGTGCCATGTGAAGCGAGAAATATCGAAGCCTCTCTAGGTAAAATTTAAGCACGATAATATTGAAGAAGCCTCTCTAGGTAAAATTTAAGCAAGTTACCTTCAGCAGCAACAGAACAAGACCTTTCTAGACAAACTGAACAGAGATCATTATCATCAACTGACGGTACGGTATGCTGCAACCCAAATTCTCTGCAAATGCGCATCAAATAAAATATATAAACAAATGTTCAATACGTTTTAACTTTAAGATCATTTGAATGACTATATCTTTTATTCTTTTTTTTTGGAAATTGAATGACTATATCTAAACCACATGTAACGCTATCAGCGGGAGAAAAAAACACCAAACACATCCAAGGAGGAATTGCAGAGCCAGCTTAAGTAGGTAAAATTGCAAAATCAGCAGAAGTAACTCAACTTCATTCTAGCAGTTTAACTCCAACATAAATGTTAAAATAACTGGAGTACTAGAGATGACTATACTACGATGATTGAAGGTGGCAAAAGAGACAGATCAATGACCATATTTTCTCCATACCCAACAATCCAAGCCGAGCATTGTTGCCTTAGTAAAAGTAACAACCTATGGAAATAATGCAATTCTAAAAGAGATGTAAACTCCCCTAACTGTTCACATATATTATTTCCACTAGAATACAGAATGAAACAGCTTTCATGGCCTCCTCCTTTACTTTGCAAAAAGCATAGGGCATATGTTGGCATATCAAAAGTCTTCTAGCATAGCGACATACATTCATTATATCAAAAGCCAGCATCGATAGCTATCTATGAAAGTAAGAAATTCAGTTATAATACTTTACTTCCAGCTGAAGAAGACATGTGTGAGTTGTTAAACACTAACCTGGCTATATTAAGTATGCTCATGAGCGGCAAGGCAAGATAACTGGACGGTTGAAATACAGGGACATTCGAGTGCGAATTCGGAGAAAGTAATGGCTCCAAAGAGCGCCGTCCAAATATTCTAGCAACATCAACAGGAAGCCACCTAAACACAAGATAGTGAAATAAGTTACGGCTACTCATGTGAGTTTGGCCAATGGATAAAATGGTAATATTACTAAAGATTTGGAATACTACATAACATTATTAACAAAAACAACTTACCCATTGCAATTGAGTGTCAACCTGCTAGCACCTTTTGATATTAGTAGCTGCAAAAACAGCATCATCAAATACCAGAACAAATTAATTCTTCATTCAATAGCTATAACTGAAAGTCTGAAACGGGCTTCTTGTCAAAAAGGTGATGCTGCTTTATGACATTGACTAACCTCACAGCATTCTTGTTTACCCCTGCCTGCCGCATAATGCAACGGTGTACTGCCAGCTCCTGTTCCACCAGTGCATTGTTAAAATCTCATTTGAGTAAGAGAAATAGCATTGTCCAATGCATTCCATCTGAGCTAAGAACCAACACTTGCCTATCAAATTTGTAGCAGTGCCATAGGGGAATGTCACAGCTGAGACATTAGCACCTAAGTCAATCAACAACTGCATGCAATCTAAGTGACCGTTCAATGCTGCCATGTGAAGTGCTGTAACGCCACCATCAGCAGGCTTGTTGATGTACCTCACACGGGCACTGAAACAAACATGGAGTTAACAGATAGTTTTTTGAAACAATAAAATTTGATTCATTGACAACACATACGATTCATTAAACTTCTGCCCCAACAAGGAATTAGGACTGCTCCCACTGTTCGTCTGACAATCACCACCATCCACCACAGAAGAGGCAATATCTTCCAAGGCCACACTTGGGACAAAGTCTGCAACTAAAAGCCTAATACACCGAACAAATCCATCATGTGCAGCAAAATGCAGTGCCGTTCGACCACTCAAGTAATCTGCCCTGGTAACCTGAATCAGACAAAAAAAAAATCAGTACCCACGGACCCACCTTGTGCTAAGCAAAAAAAAACGTAGCAGACAAAAATACTATATTAGACAACGTCTTACATTGCATCTGAAGAGAAGAAGCATCTGAACCACCTCCCAGTGCCCATGCCGACATGCATGCATCAACGCAGTCTTGATCCATCCATCAAAGCAATTGCAACCAATCAACAAACTATTTGATACAGATAAAAACTGAAGAATGAACAAAAATGCAATTCCTATCCCGCGTGCATAAGTGCCAGAAAGAGCTATGAAATCTAATCAAATCTTGGTTCAGCTCTGGCTCATAGGCACAAGTGCATAACAGGTTCAGATTTTCTTATGCCATCGCTGAGCAGAGCAACCTAAAACTGAATCTTGATGCCACAATCTATTTCCATGGCATAGGAGTTGACAAATCAACCACTTGTGCACGAACAGATCTTAGCATTTGTTCGAATTGCACTCACAGAAGATAACTGGAACACACATAGATGAGAACTTTTGAACCCAGAGAGCGCAGAAAGATCTACCTGGCCGCAGTAGTTGCGCGCGTTAACGTCAGCGCCTTTCTCCAGCAGCATCGTGACAATCTGCACAGAGAGAACAATTCCTGACCCAAAATCGAGGGGGGGACGCTGAAAACACGGATGAATCCGCACGTACGTCGAGATGGCCCTTGGCGGCGGCGAAGTGGAGCGGGGTGTTGAGGCCGCCGAAGGTGGAGTAGCGCGCGAGCGCGGGGCTGAGCTCCAGCAGCATCCGCGCCTCGACGGCGTCCCCGTCGCGCGCCGCCGAGACGAGGCGCTCGCCGGAGGCCGAGCAACCCAGCGAGTTGCCCATCGCCGGCACCGGCGAGGCAGGCGCGCCCTCCGCAACCACTCGGCGTGCCGGCAGAGAGAGCGGACTCCGCCGGGCTGGTTGGGGTGGGTTTCTCCCTCCGCGTCTCCTGGCTGGGGTCTCAAAAATTTCGCAGCTCCGGAGGAAGAGGGAGGAGGACGGGATGGGGAGTGGAAATGGAAGGCCTTTATTAAAAAAATTTCCTTATTATTATACCACATTTTATATTCTCTTGATTTGGATTTATTTATTTACCACCCTTTTATTGTCTGGTTCACTCAAGTAGGAGTGACATACTAACATGCGTGTCCGTGATCATGTGAGCTGTGGTTGCGCTTAAGGTCTAGGCTGCTAGTAAAAGAAGCCAGCTAATAGTTTCTTTATTAACGTTATTAGCTAGCATACTATCTACGATTTCTCTAGCGAATACTCCCTCCGCCTAAAAAGAATATAATTTTAGCACAGTACTCACATCAAGTTAAAGTATCTCAAGCTTGACCGACTATATATAAAAAGAAAGTATAAATAGTTGTTTCATTAAATAAGTATCATTAGATTTATCATAAGATGTATTTTATAATATATATCTAGTGCCAAAAGCATTAATAATTTTGCTTATATATTTGGTCAAATTTTGAAGGCTTTAATTAACAGCTAGGATCGCTCCTCTAGTGGCTGACACTAAGTTGATTTTGCATGATGACACTCACGTGCCCAACGCTCACGGATGGATCCTTTCTTTTCCTACTTTTTGTTTCGGTGGTGGATGAAGTGGGTGTGTTCTTATCTAGGAGCAGATAGAAAAGACGATCCACAAAAGTCCTTTTCGTTATGGGCTCGTTGCAACCCAAATTTGTTTCAACTCTTCACTTTTCGCCACTCGCCATCGCCATCGCCATCGCCAGTTAATCTCTCTTCGCCACGACAGTGGATTTTGTAGAAATAGAAATGTT